CCAGGGGGACCTACCAAAACGCGCCCCAATCCATATTACATATGACTAGGGTATTTATTTGTAAATATATACAATTTGTGGCACAAGGCCGAAAGGGGAGGGACTAGAGGCTGGTCTTCACTAACTATCTTATACCAAGCTAATCAGATTCACGACCCATTCATACGTTACAATTAACCCATTCACCACAAGAACTTGTCCATCACCATTCTCACCAATCCTTCATGCCCCCATATTATAATACCAGATTCTTGTAAATATAAACAAAGGGGGGAGGGGGAGGACTAAAAGGCGCCCCAATCCATATAATCACATATGACTATTAACCCATTCATTTGTAAATATATACAAATTGAAGGCACAAGGCCGAAGGGGAGGGACCAAAACCGCCCCAATCCATATTCTTCACTATTTTTTCTTATACGCACAAAGGCCGAAAGGGTCTAAGATCTGGATTCACTAACTACCCATTCTAATTAGACGACCCATTCATACGTTATAATTAACCCATTCACCACAAGAACTTGTCCATCACCACTCAATCCTTCATGCACCATAATAACAGATTCTCACCAGGGGGACCTACCAAAACGCGCCCCAATCCATATTACATATGACTATATATTTATTTGTAAAATATACATAATTGTGGCACAAGGCCGAAAGGGAGGGGTAAGGCTGGTCTTCACTAACTATCTTATACCAAGCTAATCAGATTCACGACCCATTCATACGTTACAATTAACCCATTCACCACAAGAACTTGTCCATCACCACTCAATCCTTCATGCACCATAATACCAGATTCTCACCAGGGGACCTACCAAAACGCGCCCCAATCCATATTACATATGACTAGGGTATTTATTTGTAAATATATACAAATTGTGGCACAAGGCCGAAAAGGAGGGAGTAGAGGCTGGTCTTCACTAACTATCTTATACCTAGCTAATTAGATTCACGACCCATTCATACGTTACAATTAACCCATTCACCACAAGAACTTGTCCATCACCCTCAATCCTTCATGCACCATAATACCGGATTCTCACAAGGGGACCTACAAAACGCGCCCCAATCCATATTACATATGACTAGTATATTTATTATGTAAAAAATACATAATTGTGGCACAAGGCCAAAAGGGAGGGGTAGAGGCTGGTCTTCACTAACTATCTTATACCTAGCTAATCTGATTCACGACCCATTCATACGTTACAATTTACTCATTCACCACAAGAACTTGTCCATCACCACTCAATCCTTCATGCACCATAATGCCGATTCTCATCACCCTAGGGGGACCTACAATTTTAAAACAGAACTTGTCCCCCAATCCATATTACCATATACCGGATTCTCTACCTACCAAAACGCGCCCCAATCCATTTATTCGACTAAATTTATTCGTAAAAATTACAATTTGTGGCACAAGGCCGAAAAAGGGGAGGGGTAGAGGCTGGTCTTCACTAACTATCTTATACCTAGCTAATCAGATTCACGACCCATTCATTCCTTACAATTAACCCATTCACCACAAGAACTTGTCCATCACCACTCAATCCTTCATGCACCATAATACCAGATTCTCAAGGGGGAACTACCAAAACGCGCCCCAATCCATAAAAATTTGATGATACATAAAATGCTATACATAAAATTCTAATAATGATAGGATGCAAGGGAAGGGAGATGAACCCACTAATAACTAAAAAATAAACACAACATTCAAAAACTAAACATAACATATGTTAGTAGGGACCGTCCAACCCTCAAAACAGAGAGGCCGCTGTATTCTGCCCAAAGGGCAGAATCAAGAAGCGCTCTCGCTAAGGGAGTGGGAAAAGGATAAAATATTATGCCGGAATGGGTAATATAAAACTGACCCAGTCAAGATAAAAAGAGGACCAAACAAACTGGGAGGTTGGGAATCTCGACTTGGACCATAACCAAAGAGCAGCCGGGATACAGGCCAGGAACAACACTTACTCACATTAACTAGGTACACTGAAGCTTGTCTAACCTAACCAAGGGAGGGTTCCACAGGAAGCCACCCCGATGTGCTATAGGTTGACTTAAAAAAAAAGAAAATCAAAGGCTAGCCCCGGTCACACGAACCAGGCTTGCTACTTTTACCCACCTTTCGCTGAAGACTGTCGAATGCAATCGTTTTCTATCAGATCTAATCTTCATCTTGAGCTGATGCTCAAAGAATTGGATTAGATGCTGCCATATTACATATGACTAGGGTATTTATTTGTAAATATATACAAATTGTGGCACAAGGCCGAAAGGGGAGGGAGTAGAGGCTGGTCTTCACTAACTATCTTATACCTAGCTAATCAGATTCACGACCCATTCATACGTTACAATTAACCCATTCACCACAAGAACTTGTCCATCACCACTCAATCCTTCATGCACCATAATACCAGATTCTCACAAGGGGAACTACCAAAACGCGCCCCAATTCATAAAAAATTTGATGATACATAAAAATGCTATACATAAAATTCAAATAATGATAGGATGCAAGGGAAGGAGATGAACCCAATAATAACTAAAATAAACACAACATTCAAACTAAACATAACATATGTTAGTAGGGACCGTCCAACCCTCAAAACAGAGGCCGCTGTATTCTGCCCAAAGGGCAGAATCAAGAAGCGCTCTCGCTAAGGGAGTGGGAAAGGATAAAATATTATGCCGGAATGGGTAATATAAAACTGACCCAGTCAAGATAAAAAGAGGACCAAAACAAACTGGGGAGGTTGGGAATCTCGACTTGGACCATAACCAAAGAGCAGCCGGGATACAGGCCAGGAACAACACTTACTCACATTAACTAGGTACACTGAAGCTTGTCTAACCCTAACCAAGGGGATGGTTCCACAGGAAGCCACCCCGATGTGCTATAGGTTGACTTAAAAAAAAAAAAAAAAAATCAAGGCTAGCCCCGGTCACACGAACCAGGCTTGCTACTTTTACCCACCTTTCGCTGAAGACTGTCGAATGCAATCGTTTTCTATCAGATCTAATCTTCATCTTGAGCTGATGCTCAAAGAATTGGATTAGATGCTGCCATATTACATATGACTAGGATATTTATTATGTAAAAATACATAATTGTGGCACAAGGCCGAAATGGGAGGGGGTGTAGGCTGGTCTTCACTAACTATCTTATACCTAGCTAATCTGATTCACGACCCATTCATACGTTACAATTAACCCATTCACCACAAGAACTTGTCCATCACCACTCAATCCTTCATGCACCATAATACCAGATTCTCACAAAGGGGACCTACCAAAACGCGCCCCAATCCATAAAAATTTGATGATACATAAAATGCTATACATAAAATTCTAATAATGATAGGATGCAAGGAAGGAGATGAACCCAATAATAACTAAAAATAAACACAACATTCAAACTAAACATAACATATGTTAGTAGGGACCGTCCAACCCTCAAAACAGAGAGGCCGCTGTATTCTGCCCAAAGGGCAGAATCAAGAAGCTCTCGCTCAAGGGAGTGGGAAAGGATAAAATATTATGCCGGAATGGGTAATATAAAACTGACCCAGTCAAGATAAAAAGAGGACCAAAACAAACTGGGGAGGTTGGGAATCTCGACTTGGACCATAACCAAAGAGCAGCCGGGATACAGGCCAGGAACAACACTTACTCACATTAACTAGGTACACTGAAGCTTGTCTAACCTAACCAAGGGGAGGGTTCACAGGAAGCCACCCCGATGTGCTATAGGTTGACTTTAAAAAAGAAAATCAAGGCTAGCCCCGGTCACACGAACCAGGCTTGCTACTTTTACGCACCTTTCGCTGAAGACTGTCGAATGCAATCGTTTTCTATCAGATCTAATCTTCATCTTGAGCTGATGCTCAAAGAATTGGATTAGATGCTGCCATATTACATATGACTAGTGAGCGAGTCAGAATGACTTATTTCCCTTTATAGTCGACCAATAGAAGGTTGACCAATCAGAAGCCGCCGAACACTGTATCCGTCGTGTATAAAGGCGGCCATCTTTGTTTCCTCTACCGGAAGGACCAAAGGCGACCAGGAGAAGGATGAATTACACTCTGCTGTGATATCCACTGCGAACCTGCACTACGCTTTCCTACTGTCTCCGAAATATTCACTGCCAACCTCTAGATTCTATACTCGAGGACGACCGTCATGAAAATGTCTAACAGTCGGAACACAACATAATATTATTTTCTATTTCAGATGATTGATACGATCTCCAGCAGTTTGGAAGAGAAGCTGCTTGCAAGTGTATGGACACATGATCGTGTGCATTCTGGTAAGAGCAAGGAGAATGTAGAGGACGATAATGCAATGGAAACATTAACTCACAGGATCAATTAATGAAGAACCGAGGACAGAACGAGCCTCAACGTGAACGGGCACAGGTTCAGAGGAGGAGGAGGAGTCCAGTAGATGTGCTTTGAATTAGTTTATCGTTCCTCATTACTTTTTGGTAGCCGGTAACAAGACGTTCGGACCACTCTGTATAATTCCAAATTCTCCACAGCGAATTTCGTATGCATATCTTTAGGCTCCTTTGCATTGAGAATGTCCTCTCACACTTGACTTGAGTATCTTGATAGTGTCATATGGCTTTTTTGTTCTTTTTTATTACCAAAACAGTTGTCTGTGTTTGTTTATTGCGTTTTTATTTGGAACTCTCACCCTGGCCAATTTGTCACTGCAAGATTGATTATTTAAAGACGAATCATACTAAGCAAATAATCATTATATCCAATACATTTTTAATACAATATTCGTTATTAAAAAAATAACGAATATTGTATTAAGAATGTATTGCATATAATGATTATTTGCTTAGTAATTCATCCGTACCTTGAAGGAAGCAATAGGTTCATACCTTTTCCAAGGATAATTACGCGAAAGTGAATATATCCAATTCCACTGGGATTCGAACTCATGTTTCCGCAATATATTATACCACTAACAGGCAGGCAGATAGATAGATAGATAGATAGATAGATAGATAATGAACAAAATTAGATAAATAATGTAAAGAAATAGATAGAAAAATAATGAACATACTGAGATAGATAGATAGATAATGAACAAAATAAGGTAGATAGATAGATAACTAACTGTTGTGGATTCCGAGAGGAAATCCGGTCTCCAATGAATGACAAACGCAGGAATGAAATATAACAAATAAATGTATTTACACAATAATACAATTGGTAATACGGTTAGTAGATCCAGAAACGTGGTTAGTAACAATAATAATATATTTCCACAGTGTGGTAAATTCAGTCTCGAAGTAGGACTTCCTTAGAGTCTACGTGCTTGTAACTGTGACTTCTACAAGCGGTTACCTCACACTATTACTCTACCTCCAACTCAATCACAGTCTCTGTTCTCTATACTCTGATTGACTCTGAGTATTTAACGACAGCAATCCAAATACACCCTGGACGAGTCCACTTGTATGAAAAAGGGGTGGACCCCATAACACTAACAAAATTACATAATGAACAAAATTAGGTAGATAATGAACAGGAATAGATAGAATGATAATGAATATACTGAGATAGATAGATAGATAGATAGATAGATAGATAGATAGATAATGAATATAGATAGATAGATAGATAGATAGATAGATAATGAATATACTGAGATAGATAGATAGATAGATAGATAGATAGATAGATAGATAGATAGATAGATAATGAAAAGACTGAGATAGATAGATAGATAGTCTCAGTTTTTAGTCACTATTCCTTGGAAGCACAAACTGATATATGGGGTTTTGATTTTAACATAGTTCCTGTTGAAGGCCTACATGTGACATTGGCTAAAAAAAAATTGAGAAAAGTTTTTAACAATGCATTTATTGTGTCCTAACTTTACTGACAATAGAAAAGAAAAACAAATTTGTGTATTATAGTAAAAAATACCGCCTATGACAATGTACATTTATAGTTATTACAGTGAAGAGGAATACACATTGAAATATAGATTTCTATAATCCGTCACAAGGTAAATGTTCTTAATATTGAAATAATATTATCTCATAAAAGTGTAAAAATTAGGCTTTCTGTAAAATCTTTTCCTCTATTTATTCCTTTGTTATCTCCAATAAACCAGATATCAGTTTATTGCTATACTAGCCGAATTACCCACTCATTGCTGCTTGTCACACATCTTTTTGTGAGTAAATGATAATTGTTTTTAAATCATTGTTATAGTTAGTGGTAAAAAAAATATGCATTTCAATATTAGTCAATCTTCTTGTTGAGGTGACCTCCATCTTCTGGATTTCTCCTATATTTTGGTTAGGCTTCATCCCCAAGTTCAAATTTAAATTTGTGTCAAAGGAAAAAAAAATCATTGGAGTTTTGTGCAAAAGCAGCTTGATCTGACTCCTTTGATATATATATATGTATATTTGATGTAATATTTAGTTGAATTAATAGAAGAGCAGATTCAACATTGACATGACAGTTGAATTATCGTAATAAATATCTATTACAAGGCACTACCAACTGATTCGTGATTTCTTGCTCCACTTGACGTCCATATTGTCTCATTTTGATCTTGCCGATGTGACCTCCATCTTTTGGATTTATCCTTCTATATTTTGGATAGGATTCATCACCATGTTCAAATTTAAATTTAATTGTGTCAAAGGAAAAAATCATTGGGGTTTGTGCAAAAACAGCTTGATCTGACTCCTTTGATATGTATTTGATGAAATATTTAGTTGAATTAATAGATGAGCTGATTTCAACATTGACTTAACAGTTGAATTGTCGTAACAAATATTTATTGCAAGGCACTACCAACTGATTAGTGATTTTTTGCTCAACTCGACGTCCATATTGTCTCATTTTGATCTTGCGACGTGACCTCCATCTTCTGACTTTCTCGTTCTATATTTTGCATAGGAGTCATTTCATTGTTAAAATTTAAATTTAATTTAAATGAAAGGAGAAAAATTCATTGAGGAATAACAAACAGACAAGCAGAGGCTACAACTTTATATATATACTAGCAGCATAGCCCGGCATTGCCCGTGCTTGATTCAAAAATCGCACGATTCATACAGCAATCGCTATCACTTGACTTAAAATATTTTTGCCCTTCCTTGCCTTTAAAGGAGTGCCCTTTGCCGTACTGATGTTGCTACATGCCTTACTTCTTGCCTATCTCACACTGCGAATTTTTTCTAAGCTCTATACTAAACATTAAATCTGTTACGAAAAAAGAATTAAACAAAATGAACACAAAAAGATCAGCTTTAAAAAAGGAGTCGTAACTGGAAAAACCGAATGAAAAAAGTATGTTAACAACAAATACTTTTTCACACCCAATCAGTTCTGCGGAATCAGAATCAACGTTGAGTTTAAGCAAGCGAATGAGCCAATTGGAGTAAAGTGCCATGCAGATTTAAATTTTTCCCACTTGTGACGAATGCAGCTATCGATTTTTTTTGCATGCTAGCATGCTAGTTAACATTCGTGTCAGTCAGCTGTTGGCTCTCACGCTGGCCAATAGAATCTTCCTGCCTATTCGTGGCAGCCAGCTATAGGCTCTCACTCTGGCGAGTAGAAAATGGCCGCAAACTACATGAAAACTGCCGTAGAAGGATAAAAAATCGATTATTTCCGCCATCGATTGGAGGATGTGCATGTAAATTTTTGGTGCAAATCCGTCGAAAATTGCAGCCGTGCATTCGTTACACACACACACACACACATATCATGCCTATATATATATATATATATATATATATATATATATATATATATATAGAGAGAGAGAGAGAGAGAGAGATTGTAAACTGCAAATAAGCTTACCTTTTTTATTCTAGTGTAAATGGGACCGACATCTATCTTTTGGAATTTAGGGTAAACTGGACTTATATCTACATGATTATTAAGTTTAAACCGAACTTCTGAATAACATTTATAGTAGACGTTTGTTAATGTGGCAGCGAAATCCGAAGTTGCATTGACAATTGCCAAACATTCCTTTCAACATCTAAACAAAGAATATGTTTACAATATTTTGAGCAGGGGTTCTTAACCGGTGGTATCCATACTGGGGGTATGGGACACGATTTCTGGATACTGCTCGCCCCCCCCCGCCACCTGTATTGTGTTTGACAGATTGCACAAAAACAACAGCAAATATCTTACTAGATTTGTAAAAGTCTGTTTCAGTGGTTGAGATACTAAAAAAAACTTGTACATTTATGTTTTCTTCTTTCTTATGAAATAAAACTGAATTGTAACTTTAGTTTGCTTTCAGTAAAAAAAATATAATAAAGTTATAAATGCTTATGTTTTTGGTTTTTTTTTCATGCTCTATTCCTAGCAATCCATAGCTAAAGTACAGTAAATTCAAGCGATTGAAATATTTGGAAGACATACTGGCAAATAATAGGATTGGTGATAATTATTTACACAGTCAAGAGAAGTGAGTAATGGACCATAGTGGACAATCCATAGGTGGTCTGGAATCATCAAAATGTTAAGAGCCCCTGATTTAGAGGGTGTGATGAATAAATTGTGGTCTAAATTATGCAAAAACCTAAAGAACACTGCCATCTAATTTTAACAGCAATATTTATTAAAATTTCACAAAATATCTTGAAATACTAAAGCGTAAATCTAATCAATAAAATCACCTGTGGTTTCAATAATAATAGTAATATGTCTATATTATTGAATGAAACATGGTTTTTATATATATATATATATATATATATATATATATATATATATATATATATATATATATATGCACTGCGTGCCAAATTATTATCGAGATTATTTTTTTTTCTAATATTTAAAAAAACCGTCCAATCAATTCACACAAAATTCTCACACAATGTTGGCAACACTAACCTACGCAATCAGAGAAATTTTCGTACTGATATGCGCAATGTAAACAAACTGGCGCCATATTTGTCATCAGCACGGGGATTTGAACGTGCCAAATTATTAGAAAAGTGTAAGAATTTAGTGAAAAGATGGGCCGTAAAAACAGTTTAATTGATGCTGAAAAGAAAACTATTACCTCAGAACTCTCAAAAGGTAAATCTACCCTAGAAAAAAACAGTGAAAATGTTCACCGCCGACCCAACACAAGTACGATAATAATTTAGCACGCAGTGTACATATATATATATATATATATATATATATATATATATATATATATATATATATATATATATATATATATATTGAGACTTGCCTCATTCAATAATTAAACAAGTTTGTCTACTTAGTTTCAATTGGGTCCTTTCATATACACGGACTAGCTTTTTGGTGACATTATAAAAGAAAAAGACAAAATTACCGTGTTCATACATATTATTTATTCCGAGTACATTCGGCACTAGCACAATGTCATCATCAGGGTGTTGTTTCTTTCAAGACAAAAATAGTAATGTTCATCATTTTCAGACGAAACTGTTGTGTTCATCTGAAAGTTAATTTTTCTTACCAGTGAAGTGAAGGAATCTGGGAAGCTGAGTTTAGTGCAATTAGTCGAGTAACGCTTCTGGGAAGGTAGCTAAATTATAAGGTGTCGATAATTTAAATTCAAAAATTATTAAGAACTTTCAGTACACACCTCGATATTTTAAACTATCTACTGTACGCAAACACATATATATCCTAAAATAATACATACATATATATATATATATATATATATATATATATATATATATATATATATATATATATATTATTTTAGGATATTACATCAAAAACGTGTAAGAATCGCTACACAATTGCAGTCGTGTTTCAACGTATAACAATGCGTTCCTTCAGATGACAATTTCCAATTTTTCATGTAAACCCAGAAAACGGGGTTCATATAAGTATCTACATGGCCTTGCCATTTAAAAGATTCCATTACACCTTCAGAGTTTTATCATCATCTTATAAAATCCAAAAGTATTTAGAAAGCTATGTATTATTTGTATAAGTATTATTGGTGAAGAAATATATATATATATATATATATTACATAAAAAAAAAAATTAACTAATTTGGGTATAGATCTATTTCAACGTTGGTATTAAGGCCATTCACCATCCATCGTAAGTAGCGTTGGTTGATATAGATTTATGCTCGAATTAGGTGATATGGGAATTGTTTGTTGTGTAATTTATATGCAGTTATAATACATATAATGAGATCTCTTTGTGGATCAGTTTTAATATTTGATATTATTAGGATTCACCTGGATTACATACCAACGGATCTATAACTGTACTACACACACACACACACACACACACACACACACACACACACATATATATATATATATATATATATATATTTGTGTGCGTAACCCGTTTTATTGAAAAAACATATAAAAGGTTTCACTGTTTAAACTTTTCTATTGTCTTTCCAACTTACTTCTGATGGAAATGTTTTACATCGGGAATAAAAATGCTAAAATGTCGAAAATTTATTTTCTTACATTGGAATTCATTCGACTGCCACTTCAGTCGTTATCAACAATTAGTTTTGTTACCAAAATATGTTTAACTATTTCTGGAAATTATACATTGCTGGAATTAGAATTTAATTCAAAGGTGACTTCTCTGCAATGGTTACACTGAAAAGCAGGTGTTTGTATTATTTGGAGCTATTGTTCACATAGTTTTTTATACATATGTTGCTACAGACACATTATTGCGATTAAATACCCTCTGGTCATAATCAGGTATCAATTAATTGGTTGACATAGAACATCTGATGAGTGTTGTGTCACTGTGATGTCAGTTATTATTCGTTTCTGCTGAATTGGTACATTACTACCAGATCCAATAATTTAACTAGATTACTGTCCTAGGTATGACGATAAACTACGTCCGGCAGCAAGGACTCTGATCAGGAAGTTTTTAGGAGCGTGGAACCACCTTTTAATTGTTGTTGTTCCAAGATCTACCCTGACTCAGGGTTGCAGTATCTGTTAGTGTCCCAGCTATGGGCAACTCATGAACCCCCAAAATGGGGTCAAAACGAGAAAATATAAAAATACATTACAGCAATACATTTTCATAGTACACAAAATTACCATCTAACCCATATAATATTCTACAATATTCAAAAATATAACTTCAACAAAACTACAACATATATATCACCGTCTATAGTAATTATAGCCAGACAAACAATTATATGCACAAAAGCTGAGTATCAGCTACCATGTATTAAAATGTGAAAGCAGAATAAAATATATAACATTTTTTATTACTTCAAATCTCCAAAGAAAATTAAATTTCGGCATTATATGACCCATAAGGATGTTGATGTACCATTAAACAAACGAAAACAAACCAAACCAAACTAGATAACAGTAACATATATGTAACCAATTGATATGTCGACTACACAAACGTCCAGAAAAAATATTTAAAAATAGTATAAGAAAATTGATAATTTCTAGTCTAATATTAAATTTTGAAAAGCTTGTATCGAGCATTTCTATGTCTTTGTGCCAGACTGAGTTAAATTTTCTCAATATATTGGGTCTCTTTTAAGTATTTTGCATAATGTTATATTCAGTGCTTGTAACTCATTCGTTTCCCGCCCTTTTAATGCTCATCGTTGTCCGCCATGTTGGAGTGCTTTGTCTCCCATTAGAGTTAGCTATTTATCTGACAAGTAATCGGTTTTCTATATTACTCGTCTCCTGGGATCTGACTCAGTAGAGTTTCTACCAAAAAGAATCAAACCGTGAAGCACAATATCAGATGACAGCTGAAAAATAAGCATTTACTTAAAACATTTCTTGAAAAAAATATTTTATAAACATTTATTTAAATTTTTAATGGAGACCTACTCACTCTTCTTCTTCATATTCATCTTCAACTTCTTCTTCCCCTTCTACTTCTACATTCACATTCTTTTTCTTCTTTCATATACTTCTTCCTTTTCTTCTTCTTCTTCTTACCCTTTCTTCTTTCATATTCTTTTTCGTCTCATTCTTCTTTTTCTTCCCATTCTTCTTCTTTCATATTCTTCTTCTTCTTTCCCTTCTTCTTCCTCTTCTTCTTTAAAATTCTTCTTCTTCTTCTTCACCTTATTCTTCTTCACCTTCTTCTTCCCTATTCTTTTGTTTTCCCTTCTTATTCTTCTACCATTCTTCATCTTTCCCATCTTCTTCTTCCTCTTCTTTCATACAGTTCTTGTTCTTCTTTCATATACTTCTTTCATATAATTCTTCTTCTTTTTCATATACTTCTTTCATATACTACGTATTTTATATACTTCTTCTTTCATATACTTCTTCTTCATGTCCGTTCATGACGTAGCCGAATATGACTCTTCACCATTTTCTTCTTTTATAGCTCTTAGTAAATATTGTCTTTTTGCTATCCTTCCTAATCTCTGTTCAAACAAGCCTATACACAAGTTAGGTAGTGTATTCAATGCCTTTCTCTGTCACTGTCGTCTTCAATGTCTGCTGTGAGTATCAATGTTTCTAAACCTTCTTTCCTCATTACGTATCCTCGAAATTTCACTCTTGTCTTTCTGATGTTACGTATAAGTGTTCCTTCTGTTTCCATTTTCTCTAAAACTTCGTCGTTGCTCATTTTTCCCCATAGTGTTCTTATCATACTTCTGTTGAAACACATTACTGTTGCCTCAAGCCTCCTCTTCAGGAGATATTTGGTAAAATCTAGAGCGCAGATTGACATTTTGGCAAGATTCGATAGCGGCACTTTGAAGAACTTTTTAGTTAAAGTTATTTTCTATTTTAAGCACAACTTAGATCTAAAGAATATCACACTTATTAAAAGACAAAATAACTTAGACGAAAAGTTAATGAAAGTGGCGCTACAGAATCTTATATATATATATATATATATATAGTTGGATTGATGCGAGTTTGTGACCGTAGGTTTCACGCCCTTTGCAATCGATAGACAAGGATCAGTTATTCAGGGAATTAACAGTAAGTTAATATCTTATTAAGTTTGTTAGCGAAATGATTTCGCCATTAATTACATTAAGATTACTTATTAATTATTTGTATGATCACTTCTTTATATATATATATATATATATATATATATATATATATATAGTATAGAGAGAGAGAGAGAGAGAGAGAGTTCTATCTATAAAATAACCTATAAACAAAAAATATATTAAAATAATTATCAGACTTAGTTCTTTCCATATCATTTTTTCGTTAAGATACGCTCCGTGAATCTGTGAGCATTCGAGATAACTTATGCAAAATTTGTTGTTCAAGAACAGTAATATATATATATATATATATATATATATATATATATATATATATATATATATATATATATATATATATATATATGTATGTATGTATGTATCTGTCCCCGGAATTTTGGAAATATCTCCTTTTCTGAATTATATAATCTTTTCCCAAGCCAACACACATCACCATATTTAAACTTTTAAATAAAATTATTCTTTTATTTAAAATAAATATATAAATTAATTTCTCAAAATAGTATATTAATAATAATAATAAAAATACTAACAATAATAATAATAATAGTAATAATAAGAAAATAATAATAATAATAATAATAATAATAATAATAATAATAATAATAATATTTTCAAACCGATATTTTGCCTTGAGAAAGTGTGATTGACAAAACACGTCGGCAATTGCTGGGAAATATTTTCCAGTTATTATTTAATTCAATTTGTCTCCTCTTTAGAATTATTCTCAGAAACTTAACCATATATATATTCTTGGCATTTTGTATTTGTAATTTTGCGCATGCGCAATGTTTTTTCTTTATTTTTTTCGACTGCACAGTATAGGAGGTTCAGATGGGCACCGTCTGTAAGAAAAACAGCCGCATGGTGCACTTAACTCTGTCAAAAGTTTGGAAGCTGAAATATGAAGACTAGGTTTCAATCTGAGGACTGAGCAGAAGATTCGGAAATGGTTGGATGAGTTTAATGGTGAATACAAAGTTGTTTGGAGTGATCACTAGTGATGACGACATTATGCCTCCATTCATCTTTACACAGGACGTCAAATCGCGATTTGATTGAATACAATTACTTTGGTATACATTTGTGTAATTTTTGTAAAATTATATGTCAGTGCTATTTTCATTTTTGGGTTATTTAGACTCCAATTTACCCAACTCACCATATATATATATATATATATGTGTGTGTGTGTGTGTGTGTGTGTGTGTGTGTGTGTGAAGAAATATAGTCTTAAGTTGTGCTATATTTATGTGATAAAGTGCTCAATATCAGAGATAGAGCGTGTGTAAAAATAAAAGTCAACATTGAAGTCAACACATAGAGGCGACAGGCTGTTTCATGCTAGACGCAATCATCAGGTGGCTTGACGATTGCGTCTAACATGAAACGGTCTGTCGCCTCTAAGTGTTGACTTCAATATTCACATATATATATATATATATATATATATGTGTGTGTGTGTGTGTGTGTGTGTGTGTGTGTGTGTGTGTGTGTTGAAATAAATAATACCTGATGATGACATTATACTAATGTCGAAAGTACTGGAGATAAAATAATATTTATCAACACGGTAATTTTCTTTCTTCCTTTAATAATGACACCAAATAGCTTGTCAGTGAATATGAAAGGATCCATTTGAAAATAAGAAGACAAAACTTCTCTAAATTTGTCAATGAAACATGTCTCAAATGTGTGTTGTGTGTGTGTGTGTGTGTGCTTTGTATGTATGTGTGTGTGTGCGCGCGTTTGGTCCGACTAGTGTGTTTTGCCACCATGTGTATATTGTGTGTATGCATGTTTGTGAGGTTATGATCTGTTTAGTGCTGCTTTTAATTTGTCTGTGAAGTTTTTTTTTTCTTGTATCTGTCTTAAGTTTAATCGTCTGTTTGATATATTGGCATGATTGTAAATTTGCCTTTGTTGCATTTGGAGATGTGTTTTTTGTTGTCTGATAATTTAATGTTAAAAGTTAACTACTACTCACAAAAGACAATGTTTGAAAGGATCAACGTAAGAAAAAATTAATTCCTTTATATAATATATATAAATAAGCATTCTTCGCCTGATCAACGTCGCAAGAGACAAAACGCGTGTAGCAAAAATATAGAAAATGAAATATAATATATAAAATGCCCAATTTATAATCAAAAACTTCTATGGCGTCTTCTCTCTTTAATACACACATACACACACGCACACACACACATATATCAGGAGGCACGGTGGAGTCATGGATTGCGGCTTGGATTGAGGAATCGCAGAGCCGAGTTCGAATTCCAGTCGAATCCATTACATTCACCTACGTGCTAATGCCCTTGGGAAAGGTATGAATCCTCTTCCTCTCCCTCCAGCTATGGGTCAAATAGCAGGACAGACTGGGTTCTATAGCCTTGGATGGCAACTGGTTTAGGAGAAGGACAACTCTGAATTCAAAACCTGCGGAGGGTCGTTTGGGAACCTTGTGGCATTCGGTGCACCAGGTCTCTGTATTCGTCCCTTCAAAAAGTGTGGATGGCCCTGCACGATGCCTTCACCACTATAATCAAATCTCATGTGCCGTTGTCGGGCTGTCGGTTTCTTGGAAACTGATCTGCTTGACCGTCATACGTCGAATCTCGACGGGAGAGTCGATTGTATATATATATATATATATATATATATATAAATCTTTATAAATATTTCAATAGTTAAACATTTTTTTAGATATAGTTAAAACATCATATTTATTTTTTAAACAGCATCTAAAATATTATTACAGTTAGATTCACGTTAGGAATATTCGAACACAGTGGCGTTCCAGATCACGTGACGTCCGTGTTTCGCAACGGACGCTACTCGTAAACAAACAGTAATTTTAATTTATTTGTAACAAACAGTTATTTCTGAAGAAAGACTGAGCTCAATCTGAAATATCAAATATATATATAAATAAATAAATACTTTCATAAAAAAGCATTATTTTTTAAATTTGCAACTTTTTCAATATATACATATTAAGAAAGTATACGTGGCTTCGCATTATGCTATATATATATATATATATGTCTGATTACATACATTATGCCATTATGTCTGCTCGTTGTTAATAAAATCTGTTCATACTTACGAATAACCTTCCGTTTATTGATGTTAAAGTAGTACATATCTATATATTACCGTAATGGATAACAACATACATCTTTGTATAAATACTTATACTAATGAAGAACATAATTTTGTACCACTTGTTCCTCTGAAGATGATCTTGGAAGAAGCTCAAAATTACTTGGGAAATGAAAATAAACGAAATTTGAACTGGTATATCCTTTAACATCAATCCACGGAAGGTTATTCGTGAGTATGTACGGATTTTATTAAAAATTATCAGACATAGTGTCTGTAATTTATTGTATCATACATGCCGAAAAGAGGATTTACTGCCTAAATACAATATATATATATATATATATATATATATATATATATATATATATATATATATATATATATATATATATATATAATTTGTTTTGTATAGAGACAATTCAGCAATACTCTTTGATGCCAGACAAAACAAAAGACGACAATTACCAGCTCACCCTCCTTGCCCATTTCTAAAATTCTTCAATATGTTTTAGTTTTTTTAATTGGATAAAACCCAAACGCACTTCCTTTCGGATGTTGTACAGAGGAAAAGACCCAACACAAATTTTGACAGTTTTTATACAAACATCTTTGACGAATATTTTTTTAGGCCCGCACCCACCATTACTAATTTTTGTTTGTTTTGAGGAATATTTATTTATGTTTCTTTCTTTATTTCCTCATTCAGCAAAATCATTCTGTCTTATTTTAATCTTTATTGTTTAATAATTCTTTTTATTACAAACTTTCTTATTTCTTTCACTTTCCTTTCTTTCTCCATTTTTTTTCATTTTTTTTCTTTATCTTTTTTGCTTTACTTTTCTTTATTTTCTTCCTTTCCTTTTTTTTTTTACTTTCTTTAGTTTTTCTTTCCATGTTTCGCTTTTCTGTTTTTCCTCTACTTTTCTTTAACTTTTCTTTCTTTCTTTCACGTTTCTTTCTTTCAGGCTTTCGCTATTTTACTTTCTTTCGTCTTTGTTCTTTTTTTCTTACACATTTCTTATTTTCGTTTTCCTTTCTTTCTTTCTTTCACTTTTCTTGCTTTCTTTTTCGTTATTTCACGTTACTTTTTTCTTTCTTTCTTTCTTTCTTTCTTTCGTTCACATTTATTTCTTCATCTGTTCCTTTCTTTTTTCCATTCTTTCTTTCATTCTTTATGGCTTACCATTTTCTTTCCTTCTTTCTTTCACTCATGGTTTTTCCTTTTTATTTCTTTCTTTCAATCTATCATTTCTCTTTCTTTATTCATTTCTTTCTTTCTTTCACTTTACGTTCTTAATTTATATCGCTTTTCTTTCTTTCATTTTTCTTTCTTTCAGTCTTTCGCTATTTTTCTTTCTTTCTTTCGTCTTTCTTTTTTCGTTCTTACACATTTTTCTTTCATTTTCTTTTCATTCTTTCACTTTTCTATCTTTATTTCTTTCATTCTTTCATGCTACTTTCTTTCTTTCTGTCTTTCTTTCGTTCACATTTCTTTCTTCCTCTGTTTCTTACGTTTTTTACATTCTTTCTTTTATTCGTTATTGCTTACTGTTTTCTTTCATTCTTTCTTACTTTCTTTAGTTCATTCATGGTTTTCCCTTTTTTTTCTTTCACTTTTCTGTCTTTATTCATTTCTTTCTCTCTTTCACTTTACATTCTTTATTTCTATAGCTTTTCTTTCTTTCTTTCTTTCTTTCTTTCTTTCTTTCTTTCTTTCTTTCTTTCTTTCTTCCACCATCTTTGTTTCAGTTTTTCCTTCTTACTTTCTTTCGATTTTCTTTCTTTCTTTAACGTTTCTATATTTCTATCTTTTCGCTTTTTTTTCATCCATTCACTTTTCTTCCTGTTTCACTTTCTTTCAAATTTTTCATTCACTTTTATTTCTTTCTTTCATTTTTCTTTCATGCTTTTTTCTTGGCTTTTCTTTCGTTCTCTTCCTTTCGTTTTGTTATCTATCTTTATTTATATTCCTTTTCTTTCTTTTATTTTACTTTTTAATTGTTTCCCGAACTTCTTCTAACCTTACTCAATAGATTTGCTTCTTTCTTTTTTCTTTTTTCTTTCTTCCTTTCTTTCTTTTTTCTTTCTTTCTTTCTTTCTTTCTTTCTTTCTTTCTTTCGTTTAATTTAATATAAATATTCTTTATTTCTTTTCCTTTTAGTTGTTAACCATTCCTTTTCTCTATTAAATTAATTTTGTCTTTCTTAAGGCCATGGGCAGCTGTTTTCCGAGACGGGTCACTTATCAATAATATTTTCAATTCGGTAGACAAAGAGTTGCGATCCGTCAAAAGACACAGAACCAATAGGGGATAAAAGAGCAGATACAACACTTTGATCCTACGACGATGGCCAGAGAATGACGAGAAAGCAATGGCTACTCAATCAATAAAAGCCGAATGTTTCCATATAATGTAATGGTTATTGTTACCGCCACCATGTACTTTCATAGTTATAGCCCTGTCGTACTTTGCTAAACTTAGTATTAAAAGCAATTTTATAGTATGGAGATACACATCGATTAGTTAGCATAGAATTCATCTAAATTGAAAGTATTATGTATATGCTTATCAATATTTCTGTCTAGGATTAGCAGGGATAATCGTGTTCCTCCCAGAAACTTTAACTTGGATTAGTGTATAATCTCTTTTACGAAATATGTAACACAAAATCTATCTATCTATCTATCTATCTATCTATCTATCTATCTATCTATCTATCTATCTAAGTTTGTTCATTATCTATCTATCTATCTATCTAAGTTTGTTCATTATCTATCTATCTATCTATCTAAGTCTGTTCATTATCTATCTATCTATCTATCTAAGTCTGGTCATTCTCTATCTATCTATCTATCTATCTATCTATCTAAGTCTGTTCATTATCTATCTATCTATCTATCTATCTATCTATCTATCTATCTATCTAAGTCTGGTCATTATCTATCTATCTATCTATCTATCTATCTATCTATCTATCTAAGTCTGGTCATTATCTATCTATCTATCTATCTATCTATCTATCTAAGTCTGGTCATTATCTATCTATCTATCTATCTATCTATCTATCTATCTATCTATCTATCTAATTACTGACTTATCAGATCTCTCTATTTCAATTTATTCATGTCTATCATTTTTTTTTCTCTTCATTGGGATTTCGATCCGGGCTTAAGGCATTCGGTTGCCTAGTCGCACTGAGGAGCAGTGATATAGCAAAACAGTACTGTCTGCGAATGGCATAATTTATCTCTTGAAAATATATTTTGAATTGAGCACAACTGAATGACAAGCTAATTCTAAAAACAACGGTCACCTGCGTAAATGCGAAGCTGTTCATTAAAATGAATGGAGCACTATGGCTGTTTGGCGCTTGTTTACATTTGTAAAAACAATACACTGGCTGATTCGTTCTGTCGAGTGAAGATGGCTTAGTAGTAGAAGCTCTAGACTGACGCCAAATCGGTTAGGTTTCGATCCGGGTTTGAAGCATTCGGTATTCTAGTCGCACCCAGGAGCTGTAATACAGAGAGACAGTATTGTCTGCGAATGACACACACACACACACACATATATATATATATATATATATATATATATATATATATATATATCGGTCCCTGTATATAAGTTGTCAGTTCTTCTTAATAAACCGTGTTGGATCATTATTTACATTATCCGGACTATTGTCCTCATTTTGTCCCCATATTTATTACAAAGTTTCGGCCGTTGTACGCTCAGGTAATTGGAATGTCGAACTGAACTCTTTATTTTGCACACTGGAACTAAAGCAGTCTACCCGAGTGAGCGCAATAATGGGTTTATTTCGACATTCCAACCACCCGAAGAAAGCCGGAGCGTACAACGGCCGAAACCTTGTAATAAATATGGCGACAAAGATGAGGATAATAGTCCGAATAATATAAATAGTGTATATAATATCTCATCCCAGAAATATAAACAGATACTTGTTGGATCAATATATATATATATATATATATATATATAATTATTCTACGCACTAGGTCTATCACAACTACAACCGAAATAAATTCATCTAAACTCAGTATAAAATTTCTCACAGCTGCATCTTAAGCAATAGATGACATGATCAATAAAAAAAACAAAAAACAACCCAGAACTTGAAGGAGAGATTTACTCTATCAACTGCCAGCATTGCCAGAAAAAATATATTGGAGAAACTTCAAGAATATTAAACAAATGACTATCTGAACACAAAAGAAGCATTTTACAATCAATACACAAAATGCATTGGTTTTTCATCGTAACAAAATTGAAAAAAAAAATCATCTAAAAAATGCTACTTTAATTAACAGAGAAAATAATTCCCTTAGACGTAAATGTCTAGAAGCTGATATAATCGCTAATTAATTAGCCATAATAAATACATGTCATTATTTTCATCATTTTTGGCAGATTTTCTGTTAACGCAACGAGAACTATTTAAAAGCTGGGATGATGGAAAGGAAAATAGAATATAGATGAATTTGGCTAGATTGCAAAAATCTCTTTCAAAAAAATTTGAAGTTACCATCGTCTCTTTTTCATGCACATATGTTGTCACAACAATGTCAACAAACCCCCAGTCCGATGAATTTCTAACGGATGAAACGTGTGACAAATACAGTTTTTTTTTTCCATTTTGTCTCACAATTTCCTCAATACTGTTGTTGATATATAAAAATATATGTCGCTATCTCATATATATGACACTTTAGGATTTATTTAATTTATCTCTGCTCTACTTAGCGTATTGAGCACTCTACGTTTTAACTTTATTACGCGCTTGTTTTTGTTATTTTTATTTCTTTGTACTAAAAACTTAAGAGACTGGACGATTTATTGCGCCCTGTTCTGATGTTGCTAGTTCTGACTTTATTTTTCAAAATTTCCTTTCCTCGAGTACCAATTTGTTTTGATAGACTTACAAATTGTGCTATCGGAGGTTTTTTTTTCCAAAAGAGTATTTCGATAGTTTATATATATATATATATATATATATATATATATATATATATATATATGATTTAAGGATAATGTATTCATTATTATATTTCTCTGTTCTTACATTGAGCTCTATTTGGATTTATATCCTCCTTCGAATGATCCCTACTCAGGCTGATTCATGCTAGAGGAAACCTTCAGGCCTGATAACTGCGTCTATCATGAAACAGTCTGTCGCCTCTAAGTGCTGAATTCAATGTCCACTTTTATATTTACATACGCTCTATCTCATAGTGTGCCAAAAACAAATCCGATGTTAATGTCTTGGTTATTTTTTCAAATGTTTCCTGGCATTGATCTGTCCACTACCAAACTTTTTCTTTCTTTAACAGTTCGTTCAGTGGTGCGCGAAGTTTATGCATTTGATGTATGAATTCCTGGTAGTAATTCACTAATCTAAGAAAACTTTGTAGTTCTGTTATGTTCTTAGGAACTGTCATTTTTTTTATTGCTGTAGACCTTTCAGGGTCTGGCCGTCTACCTTCTTGATCTATGATATGGCCACGATATTTAATTTCCTTCCTGAAAAAATCACTTATTTTCTTTTACTTTGAATCCATAGATTTGAATTCTCTTAAAAACTTCTTCTACATGTTGCCAGTGTTATTCAACGCTTTCGCTATTAATCAATATGTCATCCAGGTATGCAATTGTGTAGTCTAGTCCGGCAAGTATCGTATCCATTGTCTGTTGGAATATAGCCGGCGCGACCTTAATTCCAAATGGTAATCTTTGGTATCTGTACAATCCCTTGTGTGTATTTATGCATAGAAGTTTTGAACTTTCTTCGTCGACTGGAATTTGCAGGTACGCCTCACTTAAATCAATTTTTGAAGAATATTTTCCGCCATTTAATTTAGTGAATACTTCTTCTGGACTGGGTAGAGGATAGTGGTAGTCCTTTATTGCTGCGTTCAAACCTGTAGAAAAATCAGCACAAACTCGAATTTCTCCTGATTTCTTTTTGACGTAGACCGTTGGTGCGGCCCATTTGCTGTATTCTACTTTTTTCAATATGCCTGTATTTTCGAGTCTAGTTAATTCTTGGTCAGTTTTTTTTCTATTGACGCAAACGGTACGCTCCTTTTTTTTCTTGAAAACAGGTTGAATGTTTTCCTTTATTTCGATATTAGCTGCCATTTTCTTACATCTTCCGAGAACTGCTGAAAATACTTCGGAGAAACTCGTTTTTAGTTTTCCTTTTAATTTGTCTGCCTCGGTTGATAAGCTTTTTATATTTTGGCAGTACGTACTAATAGGTAAATCCCACAATTCGAATTTTTGAAACCAGTCTGTTCCGAATAGGTTTTCGGTATTTCTTAAGACGTACATTTTTGGTTTTTTCGTCATTCCATTAAATGTTACGTTTGTAATTACTTCACCCTCGAATTTTATCTTTCTCCCCGTAACTGATCTAGTAAGTTTATCCGTTTTTAACATGACAGGTTTGTTCAGTTTTCTCCATGTTTGTAGATTTATGATAGTTAAGTCTGAGCCAGAATCCAGCTGTAACCTAACTTATCTCTTTTGCATCTCAACTTGTACATATTTTCTTATATTAGTCTCATCTGCTTGATCAGTCCTCGTAATTCTTATTCTGCTTTTGCTTTCTTTTCTATACCAACAATGAGAACTTTTGTGGCCAATTTTTTTACATGATAGACAAGTTTTAAAACGATATGTAGTCTTTCACCCAATGCCAAGACCCACAACGATAGCATGAACCGGGTGGTAGTTTTTTTATGTTGATTATAATGAGAAAATTTTGTTTTACCTGTTCTTGAGGCGGGAAAATCGGTTCGGTTTGTTTGTGAGGAGGGAAAATTTGTTTGCCTTCCTACTTTGCGCACGTGTGCTATGCCAGCTTGTTCTATGTCTTTTGAGTCTTTCTTCACACTGATGCATCTCTGGCAGTCTTCGGCTAGTTTTTGAAGTATCAGATCAAGTTCACTCTCCAATTTAGTAAGTATTCTGCGTCTCATTTCCACGTCTTTGGTTGAAACCAGGCCTTGGACGTAAATTAAGCATTTGAAATTGTCCGCGCTGAGTTCCGATAATCTGAAGTCGTCACAATATTTGTTAACAGTTGATGCAAAAGTTATGTAATCTTCGCTGTCCTTTTTTGTAAGGTTCATGCATTTCCATCTTTTATGAAATAGTGAAGTATTATGGCTGAAAAGTTCCGTTAGCAGTTTTATGGATTCTTTGAACGTTAACTCGCTTGTTTTTCTGGGAAGGATATGATCTACGAATTCGGTATATTCGCCTGTGCCTAATTTTCTTAGTAATAGGCATACTTTACATGCGTCTGACCAATCTTTGCAATCAAAATCATATAGATCTTCGTACCTTCGGAAGTAATTTGCAAAAGTTTTTTCTTCGTCGGGTGCGTACTTGAAATCTTCGATATTACTCCAAATAGCGTCTTGTGAGAGAACTGTTTCGTTCTAGGATTTTTGGTCCTTATTTGTCATTGCACGTAACAATAATTCTTGCAATTCCTGATGTTTCTGTTCGTACCTTTGTTGCTGTTCAAATTGGATTTTGATAAGTTCCATAATGGTTGACTTAAGATCTTCCATGTTTTTTTTTTTTTTTTTTTGTGTAACCTGATATTCTGTAGCCTGGGCAGGCAACAAAAAAAACAAACTTTCCTTTGTTGTCAGTGAAAATTTGATATAAAAAAAAGAATTTTTTTCTTTTTTTTAGAATTAGTTTCGTATTACCCTTTTAGAGTTTCCTCTTCACCACTTGTTATGCGCGACGGATAGCAAAAAAAAAAAAAATGGTTTGTCCTCCGCTTCGAGAGTTGATTTCCTTGTCGCCACTTGTTATGGTCCGGTTCCTTGTACCACGGTGATAGTCCAAGTTAGAACCATTAAAGAAGAACTCGAACACGGGCATGGAATAACACAGATATATTACAAACAGAAATATATACAGAGAAGTTGAAGTGTTAGTGTTGTTTTTTTTTTGGTTTTTATTTATTAGCTTTCATTATTTTTAGACATTTTGTAGATGATGCAATTATATTAGTGTTGTCAACAAGTATGTTACGAATAGTGTCCGGC